GGATAAATCTTGTTGTAACTGAGGATGAAGTTATCGTTCAAAGCGGCTTCATTTTGCATCTACCCTGTACTAAGTGTAAGTCACCAGAATTCCCTCCCTCATATAAGAGTTTAGCAATTGGCGCAGAATAGTGCATGTTTGGATTTGGTGCGAAGGTACCTACCTTATGTGCAGTTGCTAAGCCTTGAGCAAGATTATGATAGCTCTTTATTAGGCTTACGTTTCGGCTGATTTGCCTTCGCCAGAGCCTAAAAAGTGAGCAGTAAATGAAATCTATCCTCTAGTTGTCCTATCGCCACAATCAAAGTGAAAGGTGTGAATGCCTATAGACAGCTCACCTCAAACTTGGTCGTATTACCATTCAAAAGACAGTTATGAGCTGTATATGGAAACTGTACGGCTTTATAGAGCAATGTCTGGTTCTACGATCTAATTGTACGAATTTCCAGCTATGATGTCGAGCGCATCAAAGAAGTTGGTCCCGATCGCGCGGCCGCCGAATGGGTGGTCCGATGTGGAGGCGCTGTGAAGTACTTAGGAGTCTAACCTTGTATAAATTAATGTGATCATTCTAGATTCGACAAAATCGACAACCTCTTCAGCGACTATAATGCTCTAATCAAAAGATGCGCAGAGTTGGATCCGAGAGTACCGGCAGACAATGTGAAAATCACACATATTCACGCCATTGATGCTAGTGTGTCCGGCTATGGATGTCGTCATTTCAGTGCGTTTTGGAAGTTCCAAAATAACATCAGGGAATTTGTGAATTTAGAGGGCTTGGACGGTCTCCAGGAAGTCAAATTTATACGCTGTGGAACTCTTCATGATTTCGGACTGGAATACATGGCAGATGCCGTTGGTGGTCATCTTAGTCGACTCGAAATAGACAGCTGTCGTCGAATCACCGAATTTGGTCTTATACATCTTGAAAGATGCAGGTGCGTCCTCGGTAATTTTCTGAAAAAACTTCTAACTTTATCCAGGGTTTCAGAGCTCTCAAGTCGCTACGCTTGGCACATCTGAAGCATGTTCATGGTCACGATAAAGTGCTACAGCGGTTGACGAGGGCTTTGCCTAACACGGAAATTAGTTTTGTAGCTCATTGACCAACGCTGTTCAATCGAGTTCAATTGAAGCTACCTCACTCGGTGCTGTTTTAGGACTAACACTGGCAGTGTAATTGTAAACTCCGCTTTGACCGGAAGGTCTTGAATGTTTTAGGAATAAATTTGTCTACTCTCATTTCAGTTTCGAATACTCTCGACGTTCCGATTGTACAACGTTTTTGAAAAGAAGTGGGACTAAGTGAAGTAAAAGCGTAATTTGCGGCTTCCTATACTGCAGTGCTAGCAAAATATGTAAAAAAGCTGCTCTTCAGAAAATCATTACCTGCACCTAGGGTTGGTGGAGGATATTCAGGGGTTGTTGTAAAATTCAAATCCGACTTGAGCAAAAAATCTCGTTCTTTTTTATTTTTTTTTCGTTCACATTACTAATGAAACAAAGCAACTCTAAAACATGATCTCCGCACATCCGCATCATTTTAGATGCAGGGAACTGAAACCCATATCGAACATTTCCGAATGCGGGAATAATCGGACCTTCGTATCAAAAAATCATATGACAAAATCTACCAGCTTAGGGCTGAGTGATTGTATTGTTCTCTGAATCTTTAGAAGCAGAAGTATAACATCTCTGAATTATCTTTGTATTTCCAAAGGTTAATCGTTTTGATATGAGTTGCTTCGCATTTTAACTCCCACATGAAAAAACTCTATTGCACGTTTTTGTTTCTCGATTCCCAGCTGTTGAAAAAAACACCAGTGCTTATTTGTAATTGAGGTGTGGACACTACATGCCTAACAATAAGGAAAATGACAGACTGATGGGCTCTTGAGGTAGACTCTTTGGTGTAGTCGAATATTCCTAAATCTCGGCTTCAAAACTCAAGCAAATATCCAGAAAATTCCATATAGAGAATACATTGCTTTCTTGAACGCTAGCCTTGTGAGCAAAAAAAAA